CTCGTGCCCGAAGAGACTCGTTGGAGACGAGCGGAGGAGGACGTGTCCCCGTCCGTGCAAAACCGACCAAGACTGCGGCAGCAAGCGGCAGTGTCTGTGCGACGGACAGTGTGGGCTCAGCTGTGTGGCTCCAGGTAGCTGATTTCAATCCGTGCATGCGTGCGTGCGTGGGTGTCCTGGCCCAGTTGTTGTTGTGTTTACTCACAGCTGTGTCAACACACTTTGTGCCCGTCATCGACTTGCATCAGAAGGATGACAAGAGAAACGTGTGGCAGAGGAAAGTATTCGCTCGTGATCCAAAGCATACCACATCAGGAGACGTGTAGTGTCATGTGAGGTTGCTCACTGATTGTGATGAATGAAGATGACTTGTTAGGTGTAAAGGGCGATTTGGGGAGCTGGCATCTTGGCCAAGAATAACATTTTACCCTTCACACACATAAAAACAAAACAAACAAAAAAAAAATCGTCTCACACATACCAAAATAGTTCCATAAGGGACTTACTTGTATTCATTTTGGGATGGTTTTCTTTCACACCACAATTTTTGACTCTCATATGAACAAAAGCGGTGTCACGTGGGGGGTTTTTCACAGATTTTTTCGGGGCATGTGGGATAATTTTTTCGAGTGACTGATTTAAAAAAAAAATTCTTTTTGTGAATGTAAATGAGTTTTTGGCTGTGCCTGAAAGGGTTTCTTGGTTTGAGAGGTTTTTTTTTTTGTGTGTGTGTGAACGCGAGTTATTGTTCCTACCATTATGTACATGAAATGGCCCCAACAGTTATTATTATTTTTTTTTTTTGGGGTGGCCATTAGAAAGTGACTTGAGAGTTGATGAGTGGTTTTGTGAGAGTTTTTTAAGTGTAAAAGCTTTTTTTGTTGTGTGCGCCTTTTTCGGTGGGTGTGAGTGCTAAGGTGATGAGTGTGTGCAGGGTTTTTTATTTCATTAATTTTTTTGCATATGAGAGTTTTTGGGTGAATGTGCGAGTGGCTTTCACATGAATGTGATTTTTGGTGAGTGTGGGAGTGTATTGGTGGAATGTGGGAGTTTATAGGTGTGTGTGAGTTCTAGGGTGAATGTGTGGCAGTTTTTTGATGAAGGTGAGAACCAAGTAGCATTCAAGATTTGAGATTCTTTGAACACAATTTTATTCACTCTTCGAAACATAAAAAGATTTCACTCAGACAAAAAAATGTCTCACACACAAAACCTAGTGACTTTTTTTATTATGTGTGAGAGGTTTGTGGGTGTATAGACGAAGTATTTACCGTAATTAATATATCATGGGAAATATTAGACTTGGGTTCGAAATGTACAGCAGGTCAGTGCTTCTGATCAGATTGAGACCAGCAAAGGCCTGCGGACCGTGTTGCCCTTATACCCCTCCCACCCCTCCACCCACAGGTCGCACTTGCCCCTGGCCGCTGCCCCACCGAGAGGACGCCGTGGTTAGCATGCTCTCCCCCACTCACTCCTTTTCCGCCTTCCTGGAAGTGCGATGCAAGCCGGGCTTTGCCTTACCGAGTGGCCTGGACTTCACCATTCGGCGTTGCCAAGGCGACCGTCGGTGGAGCGGAGATGAGCCCATCTGCACAGGTGAGGGGTCGGGGGAAATTTTGCTTCGGATCCGATTTTGGCGCTCACGATTCAATGAACCTGATTGGCCGACGACATTATTGACATTTCAAAGTTGGCTCATCTCATCCAACGCTTTCTCATCCGGTAGTCAGCCAACCACCAGGGGGCGAACATATCGCCGAGGCTTCATTTAAACTGCCTAAAAAAAACAAGCAAGCGCACCCTGCTGAGTCATGGCAAGAGAAGGCGGTAGAGCAAAAATTGTTGGAGTTGAAGTTGAGGATTTGGACATTAACAGCATATTTCTTCAGTTAGCTCTCGGTACATCATTTTTATTATCGTTTTGTCATGAATTGTGTGTGTGTGTGTGTGTGTGTGTGTGTGTGTGTGTGTGTGTGTGTGTGTGTGTGTGTGTGTGTGTGTGTTTAGTTTTGTCGAACAAGTAAGGCAAGACATGAACCGGGAAACAAAAAAAAAAAAATCTAACAAACAAACCTTAAAATAATTTCAACAAGCATTATGCAGATCATAAGACATTCTAAAAACTGGATTAGTTTTGAAGTTGTACTTTTGGCTGAAATAGCACCCATATTCTCAACTCAAGTATATAGATAGAGCACATCGCTGTATACAAAGTGCTGTATGTGGAGCAAATATCATATATACAACAATAAAATAAGAAATTGATATCGAAGACAGTCGAAAGCACAAAACAGTCAAACTAAGATCAAGTCTGAGTCATGACGCGTCAAAAGCCAAAGAATACAAATGAGTTTTAAAGATGGGCAGTGACGGACAGGGCTTGTTCGGAGGGAGCTCATTCCAAAGAGAGGGAGCGGCAACAGAAAAGGCTCGGTCCCCTCTGAGCCTCCGCTAAGTTCTCGCTACCTTTAAGAGTGTCTGGTCTGCAGGCCCGAGGCAGCGGGCGGGTGTGTAGAGAGGTAAGGTGGAGCCGGGCCATTTCAAGATTTGAAAACAAATAATAGGATCTTGTGTGTTGAAAAAGAGTAAAAATAAGTATTTTTCCCCCAACATGATGAACGATTGTGATAAATAACCGTGATCGCAATTTGGAGCAAAAATAATTGTGATTAGCAGTCCGTTTATTCCTTCACGTTGTTTTGTCGCATTTCATGATGATTTTACACCATTCTTTATTTAAAAAAAGCAAGACAAAAAGTGCGTCTGGAATAGATGAATGACATTTCAATTCAAGTAAAAGTGGAAATGGGAAGTCACAGTGCCACTGAGTAATTACATGTTGTTGTTGTTGTTTTTCGAGCAGACGCGTGCGCGTGTGTCCAAAGATTGAAGGTCGCTCTTGTGTTGGCGACAGACAAAGTGGAGACACATCCTCAAGAATGAAAGCCATTGTGTTTGACTGGCCTCCTCATCGCCATGGCGACCACGGCGAACGGCGCTGCTGGAAAAAATATTTTGCAGTCAGCCTTGCACCTTAACTGTCAACACTTGCACAACCTAATAATCAGCCACGGGACAGCAACTCTTTTATTGGAAAAGGAAAACTGCTCTCCTTTGATTGACACTGTAATGGGTGTTCCTGGAACAATAACGTTTGTTACTTGAGTTGTCTACGTGGCGCAGATCACAACGACAGGCACAGTGGTTGTGGTTTACGTGCTTCATGGCGATACGATCGCGAAGCAAATGATTGAAACCAATACTAGCAATGAGCGAGTCGTGATACCAGATATCCGTATCGGGCTGATACCGGCTTTATTTCAAGGTGTCGGGTACTCGTGCGGACGGCAAACCTTACATGCGTGTTTTGGGAATGTGGCAGGAAGTCAGCGCGAGCAGATCATCCAAACGCCGCCCAGATTCAAACCCGCAACCGCTCGCCTGTGAGGCAGACGCACGAACCGCTCTTGACGGCGTCTCACCTTGAATGAATGCTCTTCAAAATACGTAACACGAGTCAACGTTGGCTTGCCGAGTACAATCCCACTACTCGCTCACGCGCACTTAGTCGCGGCATAAAACGCCTTCCAAAACTCGAGGCTTATTTTTCTCGTCAGCCTGCCGGCTCTCATCAGAAAGACACACTTTCCGAGGTCGTGATGCGTGGCTCACGCGCATCACGCTCAGATCTTTTCGAGCCACAGGAAGGCCGTTGAAATGTGAAATGAGGATACCGTCGCCGGCTCCGTGTGCGGTGTTGAGTAGCCGTGCTGCCGAGAGACGGCCAGAAGGTAGGTGGGTTTGAAAACGTGTGAGAGCCGCTTTGCAACCGCGCGTGCACGTATGCGCGCGCGCGCGTTGGAGCTCCTTCATGCCTGCTGAGAGGTTGTGGGCGGCCGATCACTGTCAAAGTGGCACACAGAGATGCGAGTCTAGATATGTGTGTTTTGTGGTGAGGGGGTTCATTGTGTGTGTGTGTGTGTGTGTGTGTGTGTGTGTCTGTGTGTGTCTGTGTGTGTGTGCGTGTGTGTGCGTGTGTGCGTGTGTGGGCGGCCCATCACAGTCCACAGAGTCAAAGAGGGAGCGAGAGAAAGAACTGTGCCGGTCATGCTGCTTGAGGCCTTTCTCTTCACTGCTCATCTCCTTCTCCCTCTCATCCTCTGCCACGCGAGAGGCCTCTGATTGGGGCTCGCTCGACAACGGCAGGCAAAAGTGGCGTTGAGGCGCTGGGGGCGCTGGGGGCTTGAGTTTGAGGAAAGTGCCTTTTATAAACAGTGGTGGGAAGTAACTGAGTACTCTCGAGGGATTTCAGGTTTTCATCGCGAAGGGAATCATCCAGACAGTCCCGGATGTTGTCGGGATAAAAATGGAGAATAATGAAGAAACTTCTGGACACAGCTCACCTTCTTTGATTGATCTAGTTTTATTTCTACATGTATGGCGAGTGCGTCTTGTGCCAGCCTTCAAAACCACTCTAATGTGAAAAAACGTGTTAGCTCATGAGCTATTTTAGTCTTATTTGGATACGATATTATCAAAGCAATGGCAACGTGTTCTTGATAGCATTAATGCTGCGCTAACGCTAGCTCGTTCTTCTCGTGACAGTTCTGTCAAAGTGCTGCCCGTTGTGAAGCGAGGCCAGTCGCATTCAATCAGTACTCGAAGTATCTGTACGACTTGGACTGAAATATATTCTGTCGATACTTCAGCCACCTCTGACTATGTGGCGTCTTTTCGTCTCGGTGCATTGATGCGGCGGTTGCTCCATCATGTAGCTTTGCTTTGTCAAGTGACTGAGATGATACACCTGCTCCGTTGCGCTTTGGTGCTGCCGTGTGTGTGGGAGGCAGCAACAGTGAACTTGAGCTCCAGGCTCTCATTCGCAGCCAACCACCCTCACTTCCATTCTTAGAGCAAAAGATGCCCCCACCCCCCACCCCCAACCCTCAGGCGAGCCCGGCGTTTGATGGCGCTCCCCCTGAGCAAGCTGCTCAGCCTCTTGATCATTTTTATATGCACTCGAAACTTTTTCAGGAGCCAACAATGCACGCTGTTACACAACGACGCTCTTGTGGAGAAGGTGCTCTAATGTGTTACCTAAGAACGGCGGCGGCGGCGGCTTCAATAGAACAAGACCCTCCATTAACGCGTGACCGTTGACCCCGCCTCTTGTCCTTCGGGCGTACTCGAAGTGCTTCAGCCTCATCCGCGTTGAAAGTCCCGCCAACGTTGTTGCACCAAAGTCACACCGAATGTGTGCCACAAAACGTCCGCGGCTGTCTTTTTTTTTTTTTTTTTTTTTTTTAATGGAGTTCATTTCTCCATTTGTGACCTCACTCTCAGATTGTTCATGTCCAAACACTTAAACGAGTCCCTCTATGACAATGTCAATCTAAAGTCAGCCATTTAAAAATTGTGACGATAATATAGGCCTCATAAGTCATGCTCGATAACTTGTCAGTCTTAAATGAGTGAATTGATGGATGCGCTCTTCCAGAATCTACTCTCTCTGCACCGAGCCCGCCCTCCCCGACGTGCCTCCTTCCTCGGGAGGTGACGAGCGCCTTCGCCATCGAGGGCACCGCCGCCGTAGGAACGGCCATCCGCTACAGCTGCCTGTCAGGGTGAGTGAGCTCGGCTGGAGGGAGGAGGGAAGAAAAGAATGGCTTTCAGGCTGCGTGAGTATGTGTGTAGGCTGCAGCTGCGTGTGAACCTGAAGTGGTCCGGGGGTGGATGTGGAGGAAGTGACAGAGCGTGAAGAAGAAGAAGAAGAAGGGATGAGATGTTTGAGAGCGAGCCGGTTGATGGCTGATGAATGGCAGCAATGCCCTTTTGGGGGGGGGGTCAGGGGTGGAGTCAGAAGAGAAGTTAGCACCCTGCGAACACTACGAAGCCCCGAGCAGCAGCTTTATTTGTCTTTATCCGAAACAGATCACAAAACACTGGTGGGAATATACTTGTTAGCCTCTGTGAAGAACGAGTCAGATGACTGCGCTTTACTAAGGCACGGATGGATAGTATATCTGTATTATACTGCCCCCTGGTGGCCAAGGCGCACACTCCAGAAGGAGCGGCACAATGTCCACTGAAAAATGTGGCAAAAAATCTTCAGTTCTTTAAATTCTATTGAAATATGTCTCATTGCCGTACGGTTTTATAGACTACAGTGTTATAGATTTTAGAATGCAGTTCGGTTGTATTTAAATTTTTTTTGCAATGCGTTTTCATGTCATCTTTCAGATTTTGTTTGAGTGCAGTACATATGAATTTAAATTCTTCATATTTTCGGACGTTTAAGTGCAGTGTTAACACCGCATAATGTAAGCGTGACTTACATGAGGACAGCTCAGTTATATTTAACTTTTTAGTAGCATTCGTTTACATTTGATAGTTTTACATTTTTTTCAGAGACTGTTTTCTTCTGAGTGCAGTGTTTTTTGTTGAAACTGTGCATACTGTTACGATGGCATGCATGTTGTGCAAATCAAAACCAGTTTGCTCTTACTGATTATTATTATTATTATTATTTTGCATAAATTTTATTGAATAGAACTCATTATAGTCCTTCAAGTGGAAATTGAACAGTGACTGATCAAAAATCTGTCCTCTTGGCAGAAATAGAGGGCCCCAAAGTCCAATTATGCCAGAGTGACGTGTGCCGGCTAATTCTCTCCCTCCATTGAGCGAAAGGAGCCATGCTTGCAGGCTCATGTTGAATGGCCTCCCTTCCACACTGACTCATATCCACAGCAGAAAGATGAGTGGGGATGTGAGCCAGACGGAAATGAAAGGGGATGCGGCGGAAACGGAATCATTCACACCTTTAGACACCCCCCTCCCCCGTCCTCTCTTCATCTTTTGACGCCTATCCCGTCACATGTCACTCATCAGCCATCTGCCCGCCGCTCTCTCTTTTCCCCGCACAGGGTCGACATAATCGGAAGCAGTGAGAATTACTGTCAGGACAATCGAACCTGGCAGTATCCGCACCCCATCTGTAAAAGTAAGTGAGCGGCGCGTGGCCACAGCAGCCATGTTTGTTTGGTTTCTACCTAAGTTTATTTTCCTCCTCCGCGTGCACGCTGGCCTGATGGCATCGTGAGATGATGATGATGATGATGAAGGCTCCTTATCTGCAAAGTCAGATCTATTTTTCAACGTAACAGGAAACGCAAAGCTTCCAAACGTCGGCCTTTCTCCAAGAAGGCGTCAGTTTCACGGAGCTTTACTGCTCCCTAGCGGTGCAATATGACACTGCGCTCATTATTAAAAGAACTTCATCATGCAGGATCTCATCTGACCAGAACGAGGCTCACGTGTGATTGACACGGTGACAAATCTATTCATGTATTTGATTCTTTTTATTATTGCTAGGTCATGAATTTCTAATATTGTATTTTTCAGAGTCTGCTGCAGTTTTGTTTTCAAATCAGCAAAACAGTCATGATTTTAAAATATAGACAGTAAAAAAAAAAGACTGCTATTCTTAATGAGTAATAATATTATGAGAGGTACAATCAAAAACTGTTTTTGTGAATGTGGTAAAATCAGATAGGCAACACATAATAAGTTCATACGTAATCATTAACAGCAAAATTCAAATGTGAATGTGTGATGGCCACAAAATTTGAACCCCAACCAATTGGTACTAGATTTAAAAATAATAACATTAGATTTACATGGCAACGCAGAGGCTGAAATCTAACCGGACACAAAAAAAAAAACAACGTCTCCACACATGTACTGGAAGTAGTGCAGCCAAGAGAAATATTCAAGAATGAAAAAGAGAGAATGAGTGAATCCATTTTGATGGAATAAATCGTGAGTTTTGGTTGATCATGTTGGTGACTGCCCGGTACGAACCACAAAAAATGTCTTTGTGTGCACGGGTCAGAGGTGTACTGTGAGCCTCCTCGCGAGGTGGCGCAGGGCTACGTGGTGGCCGTCCAGAAGACGGAGTACGAGGTGGGCTTTGACATCCATTACCTCTGTAAGAAAAACTTCCACCTGGATGGACCGCAGACGGTCACCTGTTTGTCTAACGGCAGCTGGAGCTCGGCGCCCCCATCCTGCAGAGGTGAGTGACGTGTCGAGTGTGATGGGGATGACGTATTGTAGGAGTCACCAATTCCGGTCCTCCAGGGCCCTGATCCGGCATGGTTTAGAATAGATGATGCCCTCCAACACAAGTGATTCAAATGAGCAGGCTCATGATCAGCCTTTGACAGGGCTTGCTGATGAGCTCATTATTTGAATCCGGTGTGTTGGAGGAGGGAAACATATCAAACATGCGGGACAGCTCGGGGCCCCAAAGTGTGTCACAAATGTCTGCTTTTGCCAGCCCGCTGCCTCATCCCTGCCAAGAGAAGCCGCGTGATGATTGACGGCGCAAAGCAGTGGCCTTCTGACATCACAGACGCGATGGTCCCTCACGGAGAGAACGTGACGTTCTTCTGCAAACACCCTCACAAGCAGTGCAGCTTCAGCGCCGCGCAGACGTGCTTAGACGGCGAGCTGCAGCCGCCGGCCTGCTACCTCGGTAGGCTGTCTGCGTGCATCACACGCGCTCTCGCTTCTTCTCACCCGGGCTCCGGTTGTCGATGGTTGGAGGCTGCTGCCATTATTACATGAGCCTGTGTTTGATTCGCAGAGCCCACGTGGCTGCAGTATAAACTCTTCCCTCACCGGCTCGTCTCCGAGATTGAAGCGTGCGCCGACGCCGACGTGGAGACCTTCTGATCTCGTAGCGCACTCGTGACACATTGTAATGCCGTCAACACCTGCTGTTGCTGTGGATCAGAGGGAAAAACTCCCTGGTCTGTGACTCCCGGCGTATGGTTTGAACCCTGTTCTGACAATTTGCACCCATCTCTTCCAGAAGGGAAGCTTGTGTGACACACACACACACACACACACACACACACACACACACACACACACACACACACACACACACACGCACACACACACACACACACACACACACACACTGTTTGTAATATTTCTTAAAACAATTATGTTTTGACAGTACCACATAATTAATATTACCTGTGAAAAATCACCCACGAGTGCATGTTTTTTTTGCCAGACACAGTACAAAATAGGTAGAGGCTTAGGATAGGGCCAAAGACGACTTTTTTTTCCCCTCAGCTCATTTTCATCATGCACTAATGTCAAGTCATAATGACTGTTTTAACAAATATGACAAAAAGTTTGTTTTTTTAAATTGCAACTAATCCCCCTTTTACACGAAACACTAAACCTATCCAGTAATGATCCCGCAATTTATTGGAAATAGCGATCACCGTGCCCCCATGGTTAAGCATACACCCAGTGGATATTTCATTAGGTACACCCAGAAATAGAAAATTCCGCCTTCACGAGACAGGAGAGGCAATTTGTATAGCACCATTTATACTAAAGGCAAATCCATGGTGCTTTACATAGGCAAAGAAATAAGAAATACATTCAAAACATGAAACTCAAGACAAAAGTCAAACATAAAAGACCAAAACAGTAAAATGACAAAACACATAAAATAAATAAAAGCAACATGGTGAAAGTAATATTTTTGATTGATGAAAAAAAAAAGAAATGAACCAAAAAAATAATGTTTTGATCCATTAAAAAAAGATTTTTGAACCTATCATCTGTTATTTGCCAAAATAACCTCGCCAACCATATTTTTGTGCTCAGACAAAAAGCCCTATCTCATATAAAAATAGTGCTTTGGCACCATCTTGGTGCCAAGGATCTATGTAGAAATGAGGCGAGGAGCTTCTATTTGGCAGGCTCAAGACCTGTTTAATATAAAACTAGTGCCGTGGCACCATTTTCTGAAAGATGGGCGACATGCCCAAAGCTTGGTCCAATAGAAAAGTAGTGCATTGCTGCCGTCTTCTGGCATCGATAGCCGATTATAAATCATTAAAGTGATGAATGCTCGAGATGACCATCAAATGTGGCGTATACTTGAAGTCTCTGCTGAGCACTGCACGAGACTACATCTCACACATGCTTCGCTATGCTAGCTACACCGTAGCAGCTCCTGTAGGTGAGCTTTCTTCTTCTCTGCTCGACGCGGGACACATCAAGTATTTTGTAAATTTTTGTGGGTTTTTTTTTTTTTTTTTTTTTTTGGGACTGGAGTGATTTGAAATAAAGTCAATATTGACTAAAATTCCCTCCAGACTTTTTTTTCTGACCAAGGTGAGCTCTTGACTTTTTCACATTAATATTGATTCTGAACCACTCCGTGCAATACACACGGCAGAGTTGTGTACTGCTAATGTTATGTTATATATATATATGTGTTTTATCCCCACAAGGGTCGCGGGACACACACACACACTTTATACCACCCCACTTTTGCCGACATTGCACTCCTTCCATTGACTCTCTTTAAAACATCATTCAAGCATAGAGAGTACAGGAAGTGTGACTCCATACTCGAGCTGGATGTCATCAGACTTGAATAAAACGTCTCCGACCTCTCCAGCGGTTGCGGGGAGCCTGCAGGCTGCAGGTTCCACGGCAACCTAAATGCCTAATAGGCTGAGCATGGCCGTTGCTCGGACCCGGTAGGCTGCTCTGCCATAGCAACTCCCCCTGACCCCTCCCTCGCCGAGCCCCAGCCAGCATCACCCTGCGCGCAGCTCAGACATATTTGGTCCTCCGGAAGTGTGCGCGGCTCGGGTAAGCCAGTCCCTTCATAGCACGGCGGCTGCGTATGGGTGGAGCACACTTTCAATTTTCATTTTTTTTACAAAGATTAAAAAAAAATAAGCATTTTCAAAGCGTTGCCCGTCGTCGTCAACAGCCGCGAGGCGCTCGGGGGCGCGGCCGTAAAGTTTTGTCCTGCTCGCGCTCGGACCCTCGGCTTCGAAAATGGCTGGCTGGAGGTTCGAGGAGGAAGCACTAAGCAGCGGTGCGGCGGTCTCCCTTCCTGCACACATAAGCTGTAAATATAACTCTCGTGCGCATGCTTCTCGGCTGTCGGAACGACGCGTCAGTGTGCCGGCTGGCGACGTCGCGGGTTCGAACGCCCGTCACGGCGCACTGACAGCTCGCACCTTGGACTGTGCATAATGGCGTCCTACTGTCCGCCTCGTCTCTTTCATAGCCTTCTTCTCTTTTTTTCACGACACGGGCAGAGCCACTAATACGTCTTATGATAATCATGTTCCCACGGTGCGTTTCGATGAGGAAGTAGGAGAGACGACGTGCAGTGTGCTTCGGCTACACCCCCACGCGAGCCATTTAAGATTTGTTTTTCAACGTGTTTCATAATTTAACAGCGTGTCAGTGAACGTCACATTTGATAGGACGTCGCGGAGTTTGGGGAGGTCACGTGACAGGTTCATTAGCATCTCGCTCACTGAACTTGACCCACATACGTTCCTCCTCGGTTTACGACGGAGTTCCGTTGCTACGGCGGCGACGTAAGCACAACGCGTATGTAAGTCTGAACGCGCCAGAGAATATCCAGTAATGATTCAAACTGAAAAACAGTAGGCTACGGTGGTAATCAAACATGCCACACAAACCTATGCTAACGCAGTAGTCAAGTAAAATTTTCTCCTAAATACCCATTTTGGTTATAACGATAAAACACTGAAATGAAAAACAGTATGGCGGTAACTGAGCGTGACTTTGTGCCACGTGACCACGTAATTTTCATGCTGCGCTGTAGTCTAGTCAGCTAAGGCAGTTATAAAGTCATAGTTAGTGTAAATATTTGCAGGAAATACACTTCCAGGCCAGGAATATAAGTTGTGTAGACAACTGAGACCTTTTCACACTTGGTTGTCTTCGGACGAAGACCCCTGTCCAAGATTGCTCGTATTTGGAAGTGCAATCACGCTGCCATTTTTTTTTTCTCCGATTGGATGTGCCATATAAATTCACCGCAACACTGCTCTTGAACATTCTTAATTTAAGGGCCTGTCGCACCGTGTGCCCATGGAGCATATTGACAATAGCTTGGGTTGGTGACAGCGCACTGCTTGTCGCTAAGTGCAGTGTGAAAAGGCCTTTATGCTGTGTAGTCATCTGTCGCTAACCTACGCTAGTACGGTAGTAAAGTATAGCGGTTTGCGTACTGTATTCTTACATTGCATCCTGATCGAACATATGCTTATGCAATTATTCAGTAAAAATAACTGGTAATATTTTTATGAAATTCACTTCTTGGACATAAATATCTAACAGTCAAGACATATTCTTACCTGTCGGGCAAACGAGTTGATTATGTGCCGTTCCTACCCTCGAAATGTTGTCTGTCAGACCTCTCTTAAACTGAGCAGTCTTTTATTCTCAAGACATGAGGACCCCCACCTGAGCCCCCTGTGCACACTTATTTGATATGTTTGTTTTGCTGTGCTCATTTGACTCTCTAACACGTTGTTATGCTCTTAAATTCAAGATGTCTAAATGGGTGTGACCCAAAATGGATGGTCAGCTGGCTACAGTCCTGCCGAGAGGCAGCCCGGAGGGCCGACGTGGCAGCCCGGGCGCAGAATCGCACGAACTGCTGCGATCGGAGCCAAAGAGGGAGCTGCAGGGGACAGGTTCAGACGCTACCGGGGCAGGTAGCCTCTGGACGTGCCCCATCAACCAGGATGCTCTGTCAATCAACGGGAGAAAGCCAGCGGAGGACGGGACTTGTGAGCCCGCCCCCCAGGAATTGAGAGAGACTCATGGGTCGAGGCAACCAATCAGAAACCAAATTGTGGTTTCCCCTCTGCGCCAGACGCCCAACGCCGACTCGGCCGCCAGACCCACCAAAGACTCGCCTTTCAGTAGTGCACAAAAACCAAACCAAATATCTACGGTCAAGACCAAGGACCAGAGAGTCGAGCTCACGGCAGGGACGCACGCTAGTGGCGATGTTTTGCTCTCAGAGACCATCCGCTCGGATTTCTCAGAAAGCCTAAAAGAATCGCATACGGCCAGTGGCGTGATATTAGTCGGTCAGGGAGCGAAGAAAGAACATTTCGAGAGGCAAGTTGAAGACTGTCTGAAGGACTTTGCCTGGGCGGAGGAGCAAAGCGAGCCGCTGGACCTGAGTCTGCCCAAGAAAAGAGAGAGCCGAGAGCCCAGGCACGCACGCTTTCTGGACCCGTGCGACAGCTTGCTGATTATGGAGGTGGACGAATACGAGGGTGAGGGAGACCGGGATGTGGTGGAGGAAGACGAAGTGGAACTGCCTTCCTTTTACCCCACATCTGTCTTTACCAGGGACCTTCTTCTCATCGACGACCAGGGCATTCCGTACACGCTCAGTCCGGACGGACTCAGGGTGCCGCAAGTGGATGTCGCCGTCTCCGAGGGCCCGGTTGAGAACGAAGGGGCCTCGCAGTTGCCCAACGCAGCAGTTTCAGACCTCAGCCAAAGTTTGGCCGATGCACTAAATGCACCTTCCGGTGATCCGATGCCTTCACGGGTTTCCGAGACGCCGTCTGTGACGCCACAAGTCTTGACTGGTTTGGATACGAATCCCTCCGAAGGCTGTGGACAAGCCATCCCCAACCAGCCCATCCAGATTCTTACCACGCCTTCCTCTGGGGCTCCCATTCTGCTCCCCTCTGCTCCACTGAGTTTTTCTCTTCCTCTGTCTGCCACCCCCGTCACCGCTGATGCTTCCGGCCCAATGTTCCTCCTCCTTTCCTCCAGTGGCTCCACCTCCACCCCGATCGCCATCCTGAACCCCGCCACCGGTCAGCTGTCCCAGCTTTCCCTTCCCCTGGCTTCCAGTAACACGTTGTCGTGCCCCGTCATGGGATTGGGCCTAAACAACCCCCCCGTGATACTATCGGGGGGATCCGCCGGCAGCATCCTGGCCCCGAATCTGGCCCCCGTTTCCTCTTCGCTCATTCCTACTCACGTCGCCTCCCCTGTTGGAATTGAAGCCATACCTACCGAGCAGGTCTCGAATGAGAGCGATAAGCCATCATCTTTAAGAACAGCCGCTGCTACTTTGACCCCCGAACCCTCAGACACGCGATTGATAGACCCCGACCCCTTGGCGGACTCTGAACGTTTACCCCTGGACGACCACATGTACTTTTCCAGTGCCGCCGCTCCTCCCTCGCCACCAAAACTGGAGCCCCTGGACCCGCTGGACCCAGCGGACCCGCTTTCTCCCACGGAGTCCTCCAACGACCCTTCTGCCCGGCGGGTGCTCTACTGCCAGCTCTGCCCACGGATCTTCTTTTACCTCTCGGATCTGGAGCGCCACGCCATCACGCACTCACAGAAGAAGCCTCACGTTTGCCAGCAGTGCGGCAAAGCCTTTAAGCGCTCCAGCCATCTGCAGGTCAGTGCTGAGCAAACATGGCCGCGCAATCAGGAAGCGTGACCTTGAGGCCAGGATTCAAACCGTACGTTTGTGCTCCCGAGCCAAAAGTACCGGTAGACGTGGGCACGTTGACTTGATGTTTACAATTTGGTGAAATCATCTGATGACAAACCTGTTAGCGCACGGCTCTCAAACTCAAATCGCGCAGACAAATCCTCGTCAAACAATGTGGCCCGTGAAAGTTTGCAACAATTTTTCTGTGACCCCTGTTCAAAAGCAGCGGTCTGTCATGAAAAGGATACAAAGCAAATACAGAGCAGTAAAGCAATACGGGCCAATATGAGGGCCCCCGTACAGCTAATGGACAGGATGTGGAACTTGCATAGGCTCGAGCTTCGCTTTTCGTAAAGTAAAAACAGACCTCGGTCTGAGTGGGTTTCATTTCCTGGTCATGTACAGGTTTTGAGCGACTGATTGATTGAAACAAACACAGTGCCGCACAACTTCTGTCGACCAAACCTAATGACCAGCGATATGCGATCGAAACAGCATTTCAGAAATGTGATTATCAGCGCAATTATTTAAGCCTTTGATGTTTCGTTGTAAAAGTCATGAAATCTGCTGTCGATTTCCTCTTTCTCCTCAACAGAAACCATGAACTTAAAACAGCATATCGTTAACGTCCAAAACGATTTGATATTTTCGTGGTTTCACAGTTGAACCAGTTGAACACCCTTGCGTTAGCTTTTAGCATTAGCTTGCCAGCCGCCCCTCTCGACTCTGCTCTGCGGTTCTCCTCTGTGACTAGCGGCTATTGTAAAAGTGTTTCAGTCGTTGCCCGGTACCATACCACTGAGGTTAAACTACTGTTTTTTTTTTTTTTTTTTTGGTCCGCCAGTTGAACAAATCCCAACTAGGCAGTTCTCAACAGAAACCATGAACTTAAAACAGCATATCGTTAACGTCCAAAACGATTTGATATTTTCGTGGTTTCACAGTTGAACCAGTTGAACACCCTTGCGTTAGCTTTTAGCATTAGCTTGCCAGCCGCCCCTCTCGACTCTGCTCTGCGGTTCTCCTCTGTGACTAGCGGCTATTGTAAAAGTGTTTCAGTCGTTGCCCGGTACCATACCCCTGAGGTTAAACTACTGTTTTTTTTTTTTTTTTTTTTGGTCAGCCAGTTGAACAAATCTCAACTAGGCAGTTTAGCGTTGTTGCCAATATAGCTTCAGTTCTGATGCTTTGCGTTAGCTTGGTCGCGGAATAAATTTCAACCCTTCCTGTAATTCAAGGTACCACTGTACCGGAATTTGGCTGGGATAAAAAAATATTTCTTGTCCTTGATTCGCTCCGCCAGAGACACAAGCACATCCACACGGGTCAGAGGAACTTCGTGTGTCCCATCTGTGCCAAACGCTTCAGGGAGGCCGGCGAGCTCCAGCGCCACCAACGGGTTCACACGGGCGAGAAACCCTACCAGTGCCAACTTTGCCACACGCGCTTCGCCGAGCGCAACACGCTGCGACGCCACACCAAGCGCAAGCACCCCTTCCACCAAGTGGCCGTGGAAATGCTCAACAACCGCGGCGGCGGTCGTCATGAGGAAGAGGAGGAGCCTGCTGAATGGTACAGCTCCACTGTGTCTCATCTCGAAAACTCTGATTCCGAAACGGAGACTTAAAATGTCCCAGACATACAAAGACGGGAGCACTTGCAATATTCATATTTATGTTTTGAAAGCGACTTTATTTTTATGAATGAATGCTATTTTCGTTGCATTTCAAGACCCTGTAAAGTGACTTGGGAGATTTGTTTCTCAATCCATTCGGCTTAGTTGGTGACCACATGTCAAAGACTGACAACGCTATTGCGGAGAGCATGACACATTTTTTTCATCATTTCACTTTTACTTGTTTTTGGGGCGTGGCCAAAACGGTGCCTGATACACTTTGTGATTTGTCAGGAATCACCCGTCCCCTAATAGGTAAGAACTTGAGCACCTTTGTTCGCCTCAACAGGTATCCGGCGCAATTGCGACACGCAGTTGGCTAGCCAGCTATGCCTCCTCCCGAAAGGGCATCTTCCCTTCAGATAGTTAATTGCCGTGGCTGCTTTCGAGTGCCTCATAGTCAGCCACAAGTTTGCGCACGATGCGGAGAAGGCGGAAAAAGCGAGGTAAATTTTCTTTTTAAAGTCCCACGTGACGGCCAGTGTAGGGAAAAGGGGGTTTCGCACTGTCGTGACCGCTGTAGAGCGCCTCGTTGTTGCAATGACCCGTTAAAATTCCTCCAACTACTGGAGGGATTTTTGGCATAAGAATGATGCTCATCCAAGTAGCATCCATTGCTCCAGTTGGTAGGAGTGGTATTTGATTGACCATTGACAGTTGAGTGGGCGTGGTTTTAACTCGTGAAGAGAACACCGCCCCGGCATTCATGAGTGGAGAGAGCGCCTTAATTTTTCATCATTTCATGTACTTGCCCATTTATGTCATCCTTCGTATTTGGCAGGAGTCTTACCATCAATCTTCCCTGTGGTGTGTCGATATTTATTTTCACTTAAAAGGGACTTTAATGGGCAACAAATGCTTTATCATGAGCTTTTTAGCTGATTTTGACAGCGCAATATTGAAATGGTAATTTTGTTGTAAATTCCCAACATATTTCCATGCAATTACATTCCCGCACAATCAATGACGAGACCTTCAAGTGCTTAAAAAAAAAAAAAAAACCCAAAAACATAACAAACAAAAAAACCCCACCTTAAACTCTTCTCAGCGTCTCCTTGTGTTCAACAAGGAGACGCTGCACTTCCTTGTAGTGGAATCTGTATTTCTTAACAGAACAGAAACACTGTGAGTCATTTGCACTTGTTTTGTTTAGCACAATATTCACCTTTTTATGTGGTGAATTGAAAACAAAAAAGAAAGCTTTCTATATTTTGTTGCTGGCTGATTTGATGTATTTAATACATATATTTCAAGACCAAATGAGTTATTCCAACACACACACACACACACACACACACACACACATAGAGAGACCCTCTCTCTCTCTCTCTCTCTCTCTCTCATATATACATACACACACAAAAAAATCACAGTTTATTTGTGAAGTATATTCAATTGTATTTAATACAGCTTGACAACTTCCAGCCAAGTCTTTGCCCATTTTTTTGCGGGGGGGTGTTCACACAATATCAAAAAAAGAAGCTCAAGGCTCATTCGCAGTCTAAACAGCTCCCGCAAAGAAGCTTTGATTGTTCCTGTGTGATAACATTGCTCCTCTTTTGTATTCTTTCGACTCGTCTTCTCCATTCAGTCGGTCTGCAGAGGCCCCTCAAACGCCGCACAAGCTCCGAGTCGTGATGAAATACTGTTTCATTGCTAAAATGACCCCACTTGGTCCTTGTGGCTCTCCCATTGAGAGGAAGGCGGTAAGCTTGGCTTCATTCTACGTTGGCAAACAGACTTTATAGAGGGACACTGAGAGGAGAGGCAGGTGTGTGTGTGAAGGTTGGAACAAGCTCTGAGAATAGATTGTGGGTGTGCGTGCGGGCACGCGCTAAAATGTAAGATTTAATTGAATCTGTTGCCGTTTTGTGGGCTCAGTTAATCGCAGCATGCCGCCGTTATATTTGTCAACCATCCAACAACTTACAATCATTCCAATAGTGCGTACTGTGACTTCTACGTGCCTGCTAATGATGTTGTAGAATACATGAAGAAGAAAAGTGATCTTCTGACCCGTGGCTAGATAATTAATCATAATGCACCAAAAACAGTGCTGCTCCGATAGCCGCCACTCATGAGCTCCTTTGCCGAGCTCAGTGTTGTAATAACAATAACCACAACAATAATCCTAATCATAAAAATGTCTGGTCCTTCGGTGACTTCACTCTAATTATAACAGTCAGTCATAGTACGTTTTCTTAGAATACATCACTTTGCGGCCATGTTTGATCATATAAAAATGCTAATAGTAATTAGCAGTTCGCACTGTATGTTACTGCTACTACGACGACTTCGACTTGACACCTTTTTTTATGACTGTGTTTCCTTATGATTTGTATTTTTAATGCTTAAGAATTCTGATAAGTTTATGAACATTCGTCTATCTAGTATGGCGAATCTTTGTCGTTACAGTGTAGCATCACGCTACAAAGCCCTCAAGTGAACGACGATGAATAGCAACTGATCGAAGCGGCTGTGTTGAGCGAACAGAGCTGCACGTTGAGCATTGGATTCTGTGTGATTCAGTCTGTTCCGTGACATTCGCTCTGCCTCTGCCTGAACAAACACAGACGTGCAATTTGTGTGCGCCTCTGAGTCAACAGGAAACCAACTTCAGGCGGATGTGAATTCAAACGAAAGTGTAGTGCTCATTTGTGTCCACGTGGGGGAGCTCTTATCTCAATGATGGTTTTGGACCCGGTCTGGCTCTCCATTCTCAGCAGGGTCGTTCACCATATTCAGCTCAGGCACAATCTTGCCATCTAATAATACTCCTAATAAAACAACATAAAAAAGATACATTAAAATACAAGTGATCGATTAGCATCGCACATTTTCTTCGCGGCCTCGTGCTAAAGGCTGTGCGTTTTGCCGCAGGGAGCACACTGAGAAATCTGATATTGCGCCAAAGAAAAGGTTAACATCACGCAAGGCTTCAGAGCAGGATTAACACCGAGGGGGTGGTTTTGTGGGAGCAAAGATGGACGCTGGCAGGTGTTGACCAGAGAGGCAGTCCAACCGCGGCTAACAAGCAATTACATTCACTTTTACTGGAAATGACGTGTGTGAAAAGATGTCAGAGGCGAGCCTCATGCGGGTGGAAAACGTACAAGGTTCATTTCAAATGGCAGCGCCTGCTCCGTCGGTGCAAATGAAATCAAACCGGCATGTTCCATTTTGCTCCATGGCAACAGGAAGTGACCAATCCAGTGTTCCCTTCTTGATTACTGCTATGAAAAACAAAATTAGTATTTTTTGGGGGGCAACCGGTTCAGGGTGTCCCCCACCGATTGCCTAAAGACGGCTGGGATAGGCTCCAGCGCCCCCGCGACCCTTGTGAAGATAAAGCAGATCAGAAAACGAATGAATGAACATTTAGTTGAAATGCCCAATTTAGTGTGCATCTTGACTACTTCTTCCATCCTTTAACAGGGCGGGGTAGCGGACAGCACGATAGTGCTGAGCACATGAGCGTCACAGGCAAGAGGTTCAGGGTTCAAATCTCAGACTTGGCATTTTTCACACCGCCGCCATTCCAAAAAACTTGCAAGCTTGTTCCATTGAAGGCTCCAAGTTGTTCCACGTGTGCCTTGCGATTGGCTGGCGACCAGTACAGGGTGTACCCCGCCTCTTGCCAAAGCGAGCTGGGATAGGCTCCAGGTCACCTACCACCCTAATGAGGACAAGCGCCGCTGGATCGAATGGCAGCGTGGCTTGGCACACACCAGAGTAAGTCAAACATTTTGTGCCCACTGGTGATTTCTGCTACGTGCAATCGAGTCATCCTTCGTTGAGAGACGGAAACCACAAAGTGTTTATTTTATTATTGATGTATGTTTTATAGCTGCCTGCATATAATACCAGAATGCATGCATGTGACACGCAGGTATTCTTGTTGTCCACATGAAAAGGCAGGCCTGGATGACATGTCATGTCATCAGAATGGCGACATGACGAGGTGTTAATTGGCTAAACTGTGGGCGGGTCGCTGAGCAATGGCTGTCTTGTTTATTTTGCTGCGGACTGTTATGTATCATCAAGGATGTGATTCGCTTTTAGGAAGATGCACACTGCAACATCGCTGCCACCCTGACCTGCCCCAAATGTACGCATCCAGCGGATTCGTTGTATTTCAATTAATTGTCATGGGGAAGAAAAAGGCTTTCATATGACTCGAAAGCTTGTTCAATGAAAGACTCAAGCGCCACTGTATTTATTTTGTCCCATCCTTGTGAAGATAAAGCAGATCAGAAAACGAATGAATGAACATTTAGTTGAAATGCCCAATTTAGTGTGCATCTTGACTACTTCTTCCATCCTTTAACAGGGCGGGGTAGCGGACAGCACGATAGTGCTGAGCACATGAGCGTCACAGGCAAGAGGTTCAGGGTTCAAATCTCAGACTTGGCATTTTTCACACCGCCGCCATTCCAAAAAACTTGCAAGCTTGTTCCATTGAAGGCTCCAAGTTGTTCCACGTGTGCCTTGCGATTGGCTGGCGACCAGTACAGGGTGTACCCCGCCTCTTGCCAAAGCGAGCTGGGATAGGCTCCAGGTCACCTACCACCCTAATGAGGACAAGCGCCGCTGGATCGAATGGCAGCGTGGCTTGGCACACACCAGAGTAAGTCAAACATTTTGTGCCCACTGGTGATTTCTGCTACGTGCAATCGAGTCATCCTTCGTTGAGAGACGGAAACCACAAAGTGTTTATTTTATTATTGATGTATGTTTTATAGCTGCCTGCATATAATACCAGAATGCATGCATGTGACACGCAGGTATTCTTGTTGTCCACATGAAAAGGCAGGCCTGGATGACATGTCATGTCATCAGAATGGCGACATGACGAGGTGTTAATTGGCTAAACTGTGGGCGGGTCGCTGAGCAATGGCTGTCTTGTTTATTTTGCTGCGGACTGTTATGTATCATCAAGGATGTGATTCGCTTTTAGGAAGATGCACACTGCAACATCGCTGCCACCCTGACCTGCCCCAAATGTACGCATCCAGCGGATTCGTTGTATTTCAATTAATTGTCATGGGGAAGAAAAAGGCTTTCATATGACTCGAAAGCTTGTTCAATGAAAGACTCAAGCGCCACTGTATTTATTTTGTCCCATACCCGACTCCCCCGCTGCGGTTTTCCTATCAGCCCCTGTCGCGCTCCCACACCGTGGCCGTCATTACGACTTCGCGCCCACACCGCCACTTCAAAGCGTTGCCGTGCCTCATCATCCACAAATCGAAGCCCCGCGTCCGCCTCCTGTCCTCTGCCTTCTTTTACAGCCACCGCCGCCCCCCCTCCCCCCGCCCCCTTTGCCTCGGCCTGCTGAACCAGCACACACAGGCCCGTCCATCAAAGAGGAGGAACAGGTGCTCGTGCCACATCCTCACTTCCCCCACTTTACCAGGCCTAATACAACACACACACACACACACACACACACACACACACACACACACACACACAAACACAAACACAGAACATAGAGTGTGCAGTGTCAGTTCTTTGGCCAAGCTAAAGCATGGTTAGTTTAGTTCAGCAGCTTTGCTGTAGCTGTAAGAGTATAGGCTGTGTGTGCCACACTCTCAAATACACACACACACACACACACACACACACACACACACACACACACACACACACACACACACTTTGGACAAGAAGATAAAATATTGCTGATTTCGTTCACTTGCGCCACAAGAGTCTCAGCCGCGTATGACACGCGCAAGGGCGCACACGGCAGTAAATCACTTGAAGAGGGGTGACCCAGAGGCATCCCGAAGGCAGCATATGAGCCTTGCTGTACTTGAACCGTTTGAAGCGGGTCCAAAATGCTCCCCGTTGGCCTCGCAGTAATAAAAAGGTCTTTTGGGCCCAGGTGTCACTGCTCCGCGGATCACATGATACACTGACAGTGAGCGACAGACATTCATGCGAGAAAGTTGCCAAAACCACCCCCCCCCAAAAAAACCGAAGGAATTAATTGCTGTACAAAAAAAAAGGGTGGTGCTCAATCAGAGAGTGGGCAGATGTCAGGGGTGAGGCTGAAGGGGGAACTGGCTGTGAGCTGGGAGACATGGCGGGGTGGGCAAGGCCGCGGCGGTGGGGGGAGGGTTTGACAGTCTCTCCCAGTTGGCACCCCCGACCCATGATGCCTTGGGGCAGCCAGAGAAAGGGGGGGGGCAGAGTGAGAGGAGGCGACTGGCTGAGTTGGCTGAAGAACGGCAGACAGACAGAAAAAGAAGGACGCAGCGGTTCCGAAATAAAGCGGCGATGAAAGGGCGGACATGAAAAGAACATGAAAGAAGGAACTTGCCATTAAAACGCTCGGCCACCTCGTTGCTCTCTTCTCTTCTCCTCCTCTTCCTCATTCGATTCTCCTCTTCAATTTCATCGTAAATCAAGTCCAGTTCGACCACCCCGAGGGGCCGCTCAGCTTCTCTCCTCGCTTCCTGTAAGTATTTTCCTCCTTCATTGGCAGCCCGCTCTTGCTCATCTTCGACTGTCCGGGCGCCGCGCTCACGTCTTTGTTGTTTGAGAGAAGAATAATTGCGCTAGTGGCCAGACTCTCTCTCTTTCGCCAGTAAGTGTTTTGAGAGGGTTAACTTTGTCGCAAAGACTGGTCTTAAAAAAAAAAAAAAAAAATTGGATTATTTTACTGAATTTGAGCAAAATCATCCGCCAATCAAATTCAACCGAGTTAGCATAGCTAGCCTAAAAAAAAAAGCAAAAAACCAAAACACTGGGAATTTAAGCAAAATTATCCACCAATAAAATTGATCTATGTTAGCATAGCTAGATAGCCGAGAAAAAAAGTGTCATATTTTGCAGAATTTAAGCAAAATTATCCACAAATAAAATTGGATTAAGCATGGTTAACTTAAAAAAAGGAAGAAAAACACAACGCTCTGATGTCAAAAAAGAGGCAGCAAGCAGTTTAATGCCCAACCAAAGGTCAAACTAAACACAAAACAAAGAGAATGACATGTTGTGCATTTAAAAGAACTTCACAACTTTTTGGTCTGCTCCTGAATGCCAATCGGAAACACCTTCGACAGGCTAACATTGCATTTTGGAACAAAAACATCAACATAACAATCCCCACAGACTTCTCGATCTCCATGAAAAAGAACTAACATTGCTGCAAATTGTGAAGCTCATCTTTTGATTGTAACGGCCAGACTATAATTTGACGCACTGTGATCATGGCAGGCCGTCTACAGGGACGACCGCCGACGCCACAGTTGGCTTGTTAGGTCTTGCCGTCTCTATCTGCGTGTGTGTGTGTGTGTGTGCGTGTGCGTGGCGTGCCATTGCTGTGCCTCGATCAATCTCACTTTGTGTCCGTCAGTGGATTTGCAAGCATTTGGCTCTCTCACTCTGTTGCTTTCCCCGCAGTGACACACAGAAAAGGAAAAGAAGAGGTTGCTTTCGTCCTGGCGGACACACACCAGGAAGAGCCTCTTGTGTCTCTGTGCCGCGCCGCCCTTCAGAGCCGCCATGACGCTGCTTGCTTCCGAGAGGTCACTCCTCATCCGGAACAAGTTCCGCTCAGGTGAGCGCATGGCAACGGAAGCAATTAAGTAGACGACCGCACAGTGGACACTTATGAGGATCCCCCTTCGCAAAGCGCAGGGTCATTGGCTACATGAGCATCAATATGCGGAGGTGAAGGCGAGGTGGAGATTCAGTCGCACGGGGTGTCACGTGAGCGATAGCGTCAAGGATTCGATGGCAGGGAATGGATTGAGTGAGCCGTTGGATTGTGTCCAGGCGTGGCTTTGTGGATTGCTTCTTGACACGCAAGAGAGACGCGTGACATTAGCCCACGACAAACAACAACAGTTCCGCAGTTGACTTAAATAAGCAGACGTGGGCATTCCGGCTGTACTGACGGAAGGTCCGTCAGTCCGTCACTGACGGGCGCCCATTTTGCTGATGATTGATTTGAAACGTAAAAAAAAAAAAAAAAAAAAAGACAGACACTGATGGAAGTGGACTTTCGTCCGACAGACCTTTCAGTCCGTCATCAACGGACGCCTGTTTTTCTGATGACTGACAGGAACAGGTCCCACCTATCCCGTGTTTTTCGTTAGTTTTTTGTTTTTTTTTTTGTGAGGACGGCATTGACTATATATGAGCCCACAATATCATTTTGAACATATCCTCTCATCGGGTTGAGTTGGCTCAACGCGTGTTGCTTCTAAACATGCCCATCTCACGCCTCAGGAAAATCCCTTTAGCTTAATGTTAACAAATGCAAAATGCCATAGACAGGCTAACGAATAGAATTTGTGTTGTAACCTTTTGAAACAGCAGATATTTGAACACATATAGTGCCGCACATTAGGGCCACGAATATAGCAATCCTCACAGGCATATCTTCTTTATCTTCTGTGAAGAATGAATCATATCACTGCAGCTCACTGAGAGACTCTGACCGTCTCCATGTCAAGTGGTCGACAGTATCTGTATGTCTGTTTTCATGGATTCGTTACCTGACTAAACCTTTAGTGGTGACTTAGTTGATCCTTGATCAAACTTTTTTAATACTGCAATAGCAGTTCACAATTTATCAGCTGTCGTCTTTTCGAGCGGAGGAAATGACGTCATGGTCTTTGAGGCTGTCCCCAAGGTGGGGCAACACCTGCTGGAACACGTGATTCCTGGCTTGGGGGGGCTGGGTTTAAGGGGGGCGCAGGAGGAAGAGGAGGAGGAGGAGGAGGAGGAGGAGGAAAGTTGGCAGCTGCTTTGTGTGTGTGCGCGCCGTCATGCATGTATAAGGGGTGAATGCCAAGACCAGAATATCACTTTGAACATATCCTCTCATTGGGTTGATTTTGCTCAACACGTGTTGCTTCTAAACATGTTTAGCCCACGGCTCAGGAAAATCCCTTTAGCGTAATGCTAACAAAGAATGCAAAAAGCCATAGACAGGTGAACGAACAGAATCTGTGTTGTCACCCTTCTAAGATATTTGAACACATGTAGTGTAGCACATAAGGACCGCTAATATAACAATACTCATCGGCATATCTTCTTTATCCTCTGCGAGGAATGAATACGATTGTTGCAGCTTACTGAGAAGCTGCGACCGTCTCCGTGTCAAGTAGATCCAGGATCTGTATGTCCGGATGATGCTGGACAAAGGTGGCCATGTGTGCGCACCGGAAGGAGCTGCTCAATGTCCGTTGAACAAAAAATGTGGCAAAAGCTATTTCATTGTCTTTAATTTTGGCATTATTGTGCATTTTTATATTTTAAAAAAAAAGTGCAACGTAGTGCTGTTTTTCATATTATTTCTTTTTTTTGTTTGGGGTGTATTGTGTGTGAAAACACCAGTACACTTCTGCGGGAGCTGCTGTCAGCCACTGCCCACGCCCAGATACTCACACGCAGACATCACACGCCACCCTACCAGGCCCCGCCTCTTAAAGGCACATATCAAACGTTCAGAAACATTTTCTACACATTTGTTACCTGCTTTGTGTGTGTGTGTGTGTGTGTGTGTGTGTTCAAAGGTGTTCTCGGTGTGTTCTAACGAGTTTAAAGCACATGTGGGGTTGAAACAAGATAATATCAAGAATTTTTGCCTCAATGTATACTATCACCGTTTTAACCCTCAGGCTGGGCACCTGGCCATTACGTAATGCTCGTGTGCAGAGTTGCAAGGCCCTTTATTTTTTATTTTTGGAGTGCCTTGTTCTCCTGGCGCTGGCATCAAACTGAAGGGGAAAAGGCTTCGGTGCTTTTTATTTCTCTGCGGTCCATTTGTTCAACTTTTGTCTTGTGCAAAGTCCACAGGATGAGAACAGTTCTGGCAGTACCAGCGAGGATGACGTGAGGGAGGTGGGGGAGGGGGGTGTGCATGAAATGCCGGGACAGCTGAAGAGGGGGGGGGGGGGGGCGTCTGACTGAAATAGATATATAGAGAGATAAATAGTTACTGGCCTCCAATGCCCACCCCGGGCAGGCCTCACCTCCCCCTCTCCCCTCACTAAGGTCTCACTCAAATGTATCATTGGCTTCACCTGTTTGTGTGTGCGCTCAACGTGGACGGACAAATTGTGCGCGCGTGCGTTCCAAAGTCATTAGGTAATATGAGCCGGCTTCTCAACGTCGCTCGAGTCTTGCTTCTGTGTCAAATGTGATTTATTGATTGGTGTGCCGTTTACTTGTCATTCTTCACGGAGCCCTTCAAGACAACGATGATCCCATTGATGCCAATGCTTGACTCCTCTTTTTTTTTTTTTTTTGTCTTTCAGTGCTGCAGTTGAGGATTCAGAACCGAAGGCAGAGTGAGATCAATGCAGACTTGGGTTGGTTTTATGCGCGACAGTGAACATTTGTGGCTAATTTGTGTGCTTAGTCATCATCTTGGGAGAGTTGTTGATCGCAACGCGATCGTTCCTTGCATTCAATCAGTGAAAGGACTTGCGACGGGGACCACGACAAAGGCTGAGGCCATCCGCTAAATTGTTCGGGAGTAAGCCGACTTTTATGAGCAAGTACGTTTCTTTCTCATTCATCGGCTCCTCTCCACAGCAGCCAAGAAAGTGGAGAAAAAAGCCCTCAAACTCAAACGCAATGATCGCAAACTGCAATTTGCCAGATAAGACGGTGGCCAACAGCGAATTAATGCCAAACTTGCAGTCACCAAGCTTATTGTGCACAAAATAGAACTAAAAAGGCATTTGAACCTTTTTTAAAACATTATTCATGAAGTCTCTCATATGCGATTTATTTCAGATTTTGGACATCTGCTGACTGAGGAAAAAAAAAAGAACTAGAACTGTTTCGATCATAAAGCATATTTGTACAATTAGCATGCATTTTTTTTGTAACATCTAAAATAAAAAATGCCTACAAAAATCTTTTAAACCTCTACATAAATGTTTTCATGTAATTGTAGGAGAAGTGATTGCTAATTATATGATATTATATCGGGCGCATCTCCTTGACAGGAGGCTGACATGTTTCGCCGCCATGTTTCTGCTACGGAAACCCAAAGGAGACAAACTTAGCAAAAGGAAGTTACTCAATTTCACAACTGCAGCGTGTGTGACAAATGCCACGCACTTAATCCGTCGCTTGAAGGATTACTGGAAGCCGTTTGGGATGACATTTTGCTTGCACCTCAGCCTAAGAAAGATGGCAGTGAATTCTAAACAGTGTACCTTTAAGAAACATAAGTTTGAATAAAATACAACGAATTCTCAGAATGTACTGCAAGCATTTCTGAGGTTGACATTTTTTACCAGTTTACACGTTCAATCTATTCCCTCTTTAGTTTCGTTTTTTTTTTTTTTTTGTTGTTATTTATATCTGTTAGCATGACTAGCGTGCGTCTCGGTTTTGTAGTTGCGGATTCGAAAGCTGGTGCTGGCCTTGCTGCACGGCGTTTGCATGTTTTTCTCTGTCCGGGTACTCCAGTTTCCTTCCACAAACCAAAATCATGCATTTTGCTTTCGAGAGGACGAAATTTGGAATGAAATTGCGAATGATTGCATGTCGATATGAACCCTGTGATTGATTGGCAACCAGTTGAAGGGGATTGGTTTTCTTGAAGGTCAATTCACAATGCGTTGACGTTTCACTGTGTCGTGTACATTAGCAAAGAGCATTCGACTGCCGTTTACAACGACAACGTGTTTTGCACCAGATTGTGTGCTCACAAAAATGTATTGGTAGTGGATAAAAACTGCATATGAAGTCTGTTTCTTGGAATTTTCACGAGAGCGTTTCTTTCACGTTGGTCCATTTTCTTTCTGCAGGCTTGAAGTCGACAAGTTCCCCGAAAAACAAAGAAAAAGACAAAAGTGAAGCTCCGGTGAGTTGAACGCTTCCGCAGTGTTGTCAAGTGAATCTTGCGCGGGCCCTGCACAGTGGTTTGATTTTGCTGCTTCCTGACCGACCGCAGCGTCCAACTGACAATGGTGCCGGAAGACATCCGAAGACGCCCCCTGGTGGAGTCGCTCCTGGAACCGTGCAAGGTGATACCCGGACAAACGCACGTAGCGCAATGTCACACGCTCGCGGGCTCGACCAGAAGTGCGCACACGTGGTCAGCTGCCGCTTGAAAACAAATGTGACCTCTCTGAGTCCCGAAACGCAGTGACGATAGCACACAAAATAAGTTGCCAGAGCTGCTACGCGCGTCTCTGTTTGGGATGTCCTTTTCCACCTTATATTCCAATCATATTATGCCCACCCACCCACACGCACAGTTCCAAACGGTTTTCGGGCATTTAACTTGTCTGGGACAAGCTTTTGTCAAAATACACCAGGGATCAGCAAGGATTGAATTCAGTTATTTTGTTTATTTATAACTATGTATTCTCTTTCTCTCTATACCTATGTGCGTGTGTGTGTGTGTGTGTGTGTGTGTGTGTGTGTGTTTTGGACATCTGCTGACTGAGGGGAAAAAAAAAAGCATATTTGTACAATTGGCATGTATTTTTTTTTTGTAACATCTAAAATAAGAAATGCCTACAAAAATCTTGATCCGTATTTGCCGCAAATTTGACAATTTGATCCGTATTTTGATACACACAAAATGTTTGAGAAGGATGCATTCTTATGTGGAATTATTTGATTCGGTGCACCCTAAAAAGTCCATTTTCCCTCAGTCCTCTATCTTCCATTCAATGGTCCATTGTTTGCAAAAGACGAGATCTCTGCAGGTGTGTTCACTTTGAAACTTGAACTCTCCTGCCATCAACGCTTTTAGAGAAGAGCGAGTGCGGGGCCTCGAGGCAGAAGAAGGCTCGTCGGGACCTCAAAGAGGGTATCCGAGATCCACCCGCGCCTGCCAAGCCCAAAGACAAAGCGCACCGCCTCCACCTTGACAACGGTGAGTCACGCAAACAAAGGAGATCGGCCAGCCGATCCCCTCTTCGGACCCTCACGTCCTTTTGCTTTCATTTCCAAAGGCCCCGCCTCTTTCGCGTTGCCCGCAAATGTCTTCGAAGACGACATCTCCTCCTGCAACTCGTCGAGCAAGCGACGCGTTGCTCCCCAACCGCCGGCGGCCTTGGCCCTCCCTTCACCACCGGGGCTCTCCGATGACCAATTGCTGAGTGACTTGTCATCGGTGGGCCCGCCCCTCAACCACGGTCTGCTTCACATTCAGGTGAGACAACAACGGAGTCGCTTTCCCGTATCTGTCCGGCGATTGGCATTCACCGCTGGGATGTATTCAAATGAAACGGAGCGAAATCCATTTCACGGAAGTGATGACTGACGCCCGTGTCCCCTTTCAGTCCAGTTCGGCTTCGCTCCCGGCAACCGAGGGCAGCCAACCGCCGACCGGCACGCTGTTGTGCGAAAGCAACTCCACTGCGGCCGCGGGTCGACCAAACGGGATCTTTCTGATTTCCCCGACCCCGCCCCTGCTGCCAAAGGTACAGTGATTGATGTGTGCTCTCTGCTGGCCTCGTTGCGATCAGAAGCACGGGTGTTCGCCTAAATTCTGAGATTTGTTCGATGAATTGGGATTGGTTTATGCACAGCAGGGAACGAAAAATCTTATCTATCCGTCTGTTTTCTACCGCTTATCCGGGGTCAGGTCGGGGGGGGCGGCAGCTTTAGCAGGGAAGCCCAGACTTCCCTCTTCCAGCGTGTCCCGGGTTGTTCCCGGTGCCGGTGGGACATGCCCAGAACACCTCATCTGGCTCCTCTCGGCGGGGAGGAAAAGCGGCTCGACTCTGAGCCCCTCGCTTCTCACTTTATGATCTCTGATAGGGAGCCCAAACACCCTGCGGAGGAAACTCAAATGGCCGCTTGTATCCGGGATCCCGAAAAGTGTTAGTCGGTAGCAAATGCACGGCCTTATCATACGCGTGCGAGTAGATCTTATAAATAATGCCGGATGAAGTACTTTGGAGCCCATATTTGACCCGCTAATTAGCATCTGAAATCACAACAAAGTCAGCGACATCGAGATCCTGACCCGAACAAGATGCTCGCGCTCGCTGTTTTGCGACCGTGACCTGAAGCTGTTACGCATTCATTACTGTCAATTTGCACTTGCGGGCGCGTGGCGCGTATTTGCCCGTTCCCGGGGTTCACACATCCGCACACAAACACACCGTGGCTGTGCGTCAAAGCCAACGCGCGTTGTCCTTTGGAGAGCCGTGACGGGTTTAACCTCCACACGGTGCAAACGCCGTCAAACAGCTCGACGCCACCCCCCCCCCACCCCCCCGACCCCCGCGTCACATCTTCTATGCGCCAGCTTTGGAGTGACTCCACTGAGCCCGCTTTGAAACCCTCGCAGACAGCCGGGCCTCCCAGTCCTGCCGGTTCCTCTTCCCCGACGCCCGCCTTCAACCTCAGCCACCTCGCTTGCTCACGGAAACCGCGCGATACCAAACCCAAGATGAAGAAACTCAAGTATCACCAGTACATTCCTCCCGACCAGAGAGGGGCGTCCGGGCCCGGAGGTAGAGAATCGCTCTCAACCTCTCACAGCCAAAACCCGAGACCTGCACTTTACCTGTGCTGTGTGTGTGTGTGTGTGTGTGTGTGTGTCGTGTCTTTCAAGAGGGAGGAGCCAAACAGAAAAGCCCTCCTACCCAGCCATTAGGCGCCGCCAATTCTCATCTGCTCAAGCAGCAACAAGTCTTTCTCCAGCTGCAAATCCTTCAGCAGCAGCAGCAGCAGCAAGTCGCTGTGCTGCCCAGGTATTCGCTTTTGCTCATTCCTGAGACTTGTACAAACATGGCTGCCGATCTGCGGTCTGGGGGTCTGCGGCCACCTCCGTCGTTGCCTGACAGGTTCGCCGTCCACTTGCATCGTTTGTTGCTGTTGTCATTCATTTCGCCGAAAGTATCTTCAGGCAAACAGTTGGCGAACGATGTGGTCCCCACGAGCATCAGAGAATGTTTATGCTCACCGCTCGTGTCCTTGGCGTCAGTGCATCCCAAGTGAAATGATTGATAGACCTCAGCCGAGCAGGCGGCTTCAGTTGGCGTAGCAAGGTTTGCTTCGTTTGGGTGTGCTGCGGTCCTCGCCGAGCCTCGTTGCGGGAACTGATGTGGCCTGCTTGGATGCGAGGCAAAACGTCTCGTAAAACAACCAGAACGCTCCAGTTTCAATCCATTTGATGCCCTGACGGGTCTAATCATCACACAGATTTAAGCAACCCGTTTATTTCTTCAAATACACAGAACAAAATAAAATCGCTTGTCGTGGGGATCTGGAAATGGATTCATGGCGTTTCAATTCCTTTCCATGGGCATGATTGATTTGAGAGTGACAAGCCTGTTCAATGGATGAAATCAAGTTGCAAGTCAAGGTCGCACGCGACTTGAGCTAGCCGGCAAGCGAATAAGAGCGGCGAGATGTTTCGATTCAATTATCAGTTCTCATTTTGACTCCTATAGACAACAAGAATCATCTGGAGCTCTGCCCCTCAAAAAAAGCTTTTTTTTGTTCTCGGTAAACACAAGAAAATGACATGGCTTGACCACATCTTAATCACGTGCAACCAATGTACGTTTGTGTTGAGTAAATCCAAGGGATCTTTTTTTGAAATTTAGTTTTGTTTTTTTTTTTCCAGTGAACCCGTCGCCGCCGCCGCCACCAACCACACACCAAAGGACACAAACAATGCGCCCAAACTTGAGCTCCTCCCAGCAAATCTCGTTGATCTCAAAGTAAGAGAAGCCATGGCGTAAATCCAGAAATATTTTGGACCTGACGGGTCATATCCGCAGTTAATACCGAGCGCGACCTTGGATGACCTCGCGCGCTTTGGCCTCCTCAGGTGTCAGAGTTGAGGCAGCAGCTGCGTAAGCGAGGCCTCCCCGTCTCCGGCACCAAGCCGGCCCTGTTGCAGCGCCTTCGCCCCTTCCAGCTCCCGCCCTCGTGCGCCGTTCCCGCGCCCCTCTGTCCACCGGGGGGCGGCACGGAGCCCCCGACTCCCCCTCACCCGCTTCTGGCCCACCGCAGCCCCAGCTCAAGCTGCAGCTCCGCGGACTCACCTGGAAGCAGCCCCGACCAACAGACGTACATCCCGGATCACGGGGTCCCGAACGGCATTGTGAATGTCGCCGACGGTCTCTCCGTCAGTCTGTCTGGCGAACAGTGCGGTCCTCTCAACGCGGTCTTCCTTGCTCCTGCCTGTACCGCCTCCGGAACCCCGAGTCCCAGTTTACCCATGTCGTCCTCGTCGCCCCTGCAGTGCGGCGCCACCTGGAGGACTGAGCTGGCCGTCGACTTGGACAAGAAAGAGAGGATCAATTGCAGGGCGAGAGAAGCGTCGGCCAACACTGTGCAACAAGTGAGGGAAAAGGTTTTTGGGTCTTTGGATTTTGGTGGAGAACCGTACCGCTCACAAAAAGTTGCGGGGACTTGGATTTGGGCTTGCATAAAGAACTTAAAATACATCACAATTTTTCCAGGCGCACGTCATTTGACGCTCTCTGAACTGTTTGGTGTTTCGGCACTTCTTGGACAACTTGCTGTTGTCTAAACAAGGCGCTGAACGACCAAATTGACAGTTGCTATTGACCGGTATGTTTCTTGTTTTCGATGAGAATTGGTATTCAAACGGCCCTCTTGCTCATTTTGACCTCATGAGACCCAGACGACACCTGACAACTGATGATCAGAACCTCACAGTTGAAACCGGATGTTGTCAGAAGGAGGTGACCACTCAACTCGGAGTGTTGACGACAGACATGCGGAGAAGACGCAGAAAGGCTTCCGAGCGGATGTCCATGGAAATGCCTCGGTCAATGCCTCGTGAATTTTGCGTTCAGCTCCTTAGAGAACAGCAACTTGTGCTAAAGTACCAAAGGCAATGAACAGTTGGACAAGTTCAAGAGGTCGCCGTGCATTTTGGCTTCATCCTAAAAGCCGAACACACCTCACGTTTTGTGATTAGCGTCCATCTTTGACACCGTTTTACTCTCTGCCTGTCTGCCAGTCTTGTGCAAGATCCCTTCATCCATTCCTGCAACAGGAACCAGGGTGCAGGAGGCGGGACCGGGAAACGGATACTCAAACGGAGGTGTTGTTTGCGCAGGTAATCCGGCCAGACCTCTCTCAAGCCTTTCGCACGGACGCGCCACGTCGACCAGTCCGCCAACTCAACTCTCGTTTATTTGACCCCCCCCTGCTTGAAGGTCCTCTGCTCCCAGCCTTGGCCCGCCGATACGATTGGCCGAGACTTTGAGCTGCCAGTTCAGATCACGGCAAGTCCAGTCCAAAACTCGCCCGGCATTCGTAGCTTGGAGGAGGAGCTACAGGAGGCCATCCTGAAAGCGCAGGTGCGTCCACGCCAACCGGACCCCGGGGGTGGTCACCATCCACCACCGCAAATGGCAAAAGTACTGAAGAAACAGTCAAACTCTTCATTTGAGTACTCGACTTCACTGTCCGTGTCTTTTCCGGTCAATAGATGGACCCTCGACAATCCATCGATGACATTCTGGATGAGCACACTGCTTCTGTCGGTGAGTATCTCATCAATAAGAAAGCCAAGCTGAAGATCCAAAGAGGCTCGCTACCTTTTCTCGTTTCCTTTCTAGACTCTGTCCACAAATCTCCTCTCCCATCGTCTCCTCCTCCTCCTCCTCCAGCGGATCCGTCCCAGAAATGCCAGCAGCACTCCAAGGAGAGCAGCTTCCTGCCTCTCTGCTCCTCGCTTCTCCTGGAGCTGCCCCCGTCTCCCGCCGCGAGCCCCCCGAGTCACGTGGTCCCACCGCCGGCGCCTCCGCCCCTTTGCACCTCGCCTCCGCTGCACTCGGCCGGCAAGTCGCGGAAGCGTCGGGCGCAGGCCGCCTTCGAGGCCGCCGACATCCTGGAGACGCTGACGTCCGGCTTGCGACTGCTCACTCCGCCGCCGCCTCCCTTCGCGGAGACCGACTTCAGTCTGGATTCGGATCTCAACATCAATCGAGTGTTGGATCTGATGATAGAGCAGTGGTGAGGAAGCGTCCGGACTGCTTGGTGACTGGCTATGCGCACTCCGTCCTTTCATTCGTAGTTTCTCCCTTCTTTCATTTTTTTCTGACTTCTTTCTTTCCCCGTTGTCCTGCCTCGGATCCAAGACGTCTTTCTTCCTTTGATCCCCGCAATTTGTATGAATGGTGCCTCGCTCTCGACCTTCCTTTTGTATTTCTAGCACCTGCAAAATCCCTCCCTCTTCCCTCCGTCCAGGTCAGGCGGCCTTCCGCTCGCGTTTCCGTCCAGGGCCTTCCTTTCATCTTTCCATGTATCAGCAATCCTTCCCATCCAATACGTGCGGCTTTCCTTCTAGCCAATGGTCCCTTCTGCCTTCCTTTTTTCTTTCTGTTCTGCATTCCTATCTTCCAACCTCCCTTTCATCCTTCTTGATGCCCTACCAACACTTCCTTCCTTCCTTCAATTAATCCTGCGCCAGCCCTTCCGTCCTATCGTTCGTCTAATCGGTGATATGCAGTACGCATCATTCCTTCCTTGGTTCCTACTTTCTTTTCCTTCTTCGTTCCGTTGACCGTGCTTTCTCCCTTCCCTTTGCTGGACCCAAAGAAAATCCATCCATCCATCCATCACTGCTGTCAGAATGATTGACTCCACGCAACGTCGGGGGTTTGATTTGTTGCAGTGTTGAATTCAAAAAGCTGGGATGGGAGAAACAGACACAAAGCTCCACACAGGGTGTCCCATAAGATGTTCTCATTCTTTGACTGACCATTACGCAAGTATTTCCGTTTTGATTCTGGTATTTATTGACTCCGATACAAGTAAAAAAAAAAGAAAAAAGCGTTAGCTTCTTCTCGCCCTCATTGAGTTTCGTCATTCGTGCGTGTTCACAAACGTTCCAACTGGTTTCCACCATTTTCTCAAGACGTGGATATCGTTTGGCAACATTGTGGAACGTCCTCGTTGGCAATTGTGAGACATGATCTTCCGATGATGACTTGAAACTGGGTTTGTGGCGTAAACTTTACCTTCAAAAAGTGGATGTTGGTTTTTGATGAACTGATCAGATGAAATCAGATTTCAGCCTGTTTGTTGCCTAATCTGGCCCATGTCATTTCAACGATTTTAGCAATGACTTTTTTTTTTTTTTTTATAACCCAGTTCATTTAAATTTTACCTCACATGTTGAGCCTGGGGCGGCACAGTGGGTGACTGGTGAGCACGTCGGTCTCACAGTGCAGAGCTGCAGCGTTCAATTCCGGCTCCGGCCTTTCTGTGTGGGGTTTGCATGTTGTCGCCGTGCCTGCGTGGCTTTTATCCGGGTACTCCGCTTTCCTCCCACATTCCAAAAACATGCACGGCAGGTTAAATTGTCCCTAGGTGTGATTGTGAATGCAAATGATTATTTGGCGATGTGTGCCTTGCGATTGGCTGGCGACCAGTGCGGGGTGTACCCCGCCTACTGCCCAAAGTCAGCTGGAATCGGCTCCAGCATGCCCGTGACCCTGGGAATAAGCGAATTAGAAAATGGATGGATGAATGAATGTGAATGGATGATATCGGCCTTTTTACACCCTCTGGTTGGCGAGAGCAAAATTTGTTCCAGCTAACTTCAAAACGCATCTGCATCACTCCAAACACATCAAATGTGTTTGTTTGCTCCGCAAACAAAATGGACCGTCAAAGAGGAAGTAAATATTTGGGGGGACACCTTGTTCACTTTTAGTAAATCGCGACGGTCATTGAAAAGCACTTGGACTGGACTCGAAAACACAACAAGAGCACCACTGGGGGGGGGGGGGGGGGGTGAGATTGACATGCCACAGTGCCATGCTTGCAGAGCCAACAACAAACAAACAAAATAAATAAATAAAGCGCTCCAGGCACATTAACCGCAAACATGCCTCCAGCATGGCAGCATTGGGACAACATACCAAAAAAACAAAACAAACAAACAAAAAAAAAAAAAACCCAAACCTGCTGTGGGCCTGATTTGGCTGCTGTTGACTGAACGGTTGAGTCGCAGCCATTCATCAAGCCCGCTCGCTGGGTGCGTTAAAAACCAGACAGGGCACACACAGCGCAGCTTGAGTGTGGCACCAGATCTTCACCTCCATGCCAGACGCACAGTCGGCGTGCAAAGGTAGACGACGAGCTGGCGGAAGCTGCGAAACGAGCGGCGCGCACCAAGGAGAGAGCGACCGCGCATGCTCGTGCGCGAGCAAACTCTGCTTTCTGGCCGTGAGTGGCAATCGCCAAATGCACTTGTTAGTTTGCCAACAATTAGGGTGTGTGTGATACGAAGGTTTACAAATAGAAGAGTGGTTCTCAAATTGGGGTCCCCCAGGGGGGTCTGCAACATCATATTGTTTCAAAAAGTCATTTACATTTTGTGACCAGCGCGGCAAAAAGACAAACTAAACCAATTACTCCTCCCTTAGCTTTGGGCTAATTAAAATTTTTTATATGATCAGTTTTGCTGATCAGTGACTTGATTTGAGGAGCAACTTTTACGACATTTTTTTTTTTTTTTGCAGGTCAGGGAAATGAAGCAAGGGTTTTATTAAACAATAAAATTCTGACTCTATAATGAATGGACTTCTTCCACTGTTAAACATCGTTTTTTGTTTTTTTAAATGTCATATTACAAGCATATCTGAGAAAAATCCAAACTTTATTCTTACAACCCTGATAAAATGTCTTGTGAAAATAATATCCCATCATTTTCTTTATTTCTCTCAACGATGACATCTTTTAAATCATTTTCATGCATATGGGTGACTTCTTTTAAGATTATGAGGGGCGTTCCTTGCCCAAATTTCAGGGGTCCCCGGACCCAAAAGGTTTTTGAGAGCCCCTGAAATCGATGAAACGGGCCCGGGAAAAACTTGACATGCACGAGAAGGTGACGCCGTCCTCCGCGTGTGTTTTTTGCTCGCTGTGCAGCTTCCGTGACAACCAACGATGCAGTTGCAGTTGCATCGCCAGTTGTGACGATCACAAGCCATCGGCAAGTATTTCTTGCTACATGTACAAACAAACAAAGAAAAGAAACCGGCAGGAGAGTAAGATGCTGCCTCCTGTGACTTCCAGCGCTTTTTTTCGTTGTTGTTGTTGTTTTTTTTTTTTTTTGTGGCCTCCACCATCTCGCTCAATGTTGTTTGACCAGCTCAATTCTGATACGACGGATGTATTTCCCTTTGCGGAATGCATGGATGTCACAACACGAGACCGGGGGCAAGTTTTTCTGCTGCTATGATTTTATTTATTCAGTAACTTATTGATGCCCCAAAATGTATTTGAAACATTCATAAAATTAAAGTCTTAATAGATTTTCCATGTGTCTCCACTTTGTCTTGTTTTTCATCTAACGGGTAAATGACGGCTGGTCTAAAATGGTCTTATTAAGCCGTGCATTTGTTGTCCTTTTTTCCGGACCTCGTTGCAAGGTACCTCGACGGTCATCACGAATCTGAACGGAGTGAACGCTAGAATGGGAGTTCGTTATTCGGATGTGAACGTTATAGGGGTGAAAACCTCGTAAATGGGGTACGTTGAAAAGAGGTTTAACTGCAATATAAAAACTTGTTTTTAGAATTAATAGACATATTTTGTTTGATGATAACATGACAAACACACACACACACACACACACACACACACACACACACACACACACACACACACACAAAAACCTTGCTACTAGCAAAGTGTAGCACAGAATTAGTTAATGGCAAACAGGGCCCAGTGCACTTGGAGAGAAAATAAAAGCTAAAAGCTTTACGGTGCTGATGACCCTGAGCGCGACTTGACTAGATTCAAGTCCTCGCCCAAACCCTAAATCTGCAATCTTAAAACTGCTGCGTCAAACCCGAAGCCAAAATAGGTGAGGTAGCAAACCCAATGTGAACTCACCACCTAAGTGGCTAAAAAAAAGAGGAAAACAAAAACAAACTGCTGCAACATTTAACACTGAAATCCTGAAGTGTGGATTTATTGTCTTCAGTGTCAGTCTTTTTAGTTTTCGATTGAATGTTTCAAGCATCATGTGGCCCAGAGCTCGGCATTTTACGGCCCTCGGGCCAAATGCGGGCTCTTACTGGCTTGCGAAGAGTTGCTTGGAATTAAGAAAATAAAAGCTGCGGTACTTTCAAATTTTTTTGGATAATACGTGTTGGGCCGCGGCCGGGCTCTTCCTGGGCTGTGAAAAGTTGCTTGGAATTAAGAAAATAAAAGCTACTTTCCAAAATTTGCATAGTGCCTGGAATAAAACCATAACTTTTACTTTGAAACTTGCTTACGGTATGCTTGAGTCGTTTACGTACAGGTGCTCTGGCAGAGTCCGCGTGATTGGCAAAAAGTCACGATCTTGGTCACCCTTCAAAATGTTCTCCCATGCCCCCCCTCCCCTCCAAAAAAAAAAAAACCCTCAAGGTGGACGCTGAATGCCGTGGCTTAAAGATAATACGGACTGTTACATATTTATTTACTGAAGTCAGGGGTCAACTCGTGTTTTTAGTTTGTGGTGAGCCATTCGCCGTCTTGAAGGACGAGCAACGTGAGTCGACATGACGAGACGAAGCATGCGGAAAAATGCCGACATTTGACTGAGGCCGGGAGAGCGCAGATATGAAGAAAAAAAAAAACCCAACAAGCTACCAAGCGACAAGCGGCCCGGGAAGCGGCAACCAGGACGAGCTTTGCGTTTAGTCTACAACATCGCTCAGGACACGAAGCCGTTTTCGGAGGGGGAATTCGTTCAAGAGTGCTTGGTGGACGACTCCGCAGCGCGAATATGGCCGGAGCAACAAAACAAGTTCAACAAATGCAGGTACAGAACCTCTCTTACTCATGTTCATCTGTCGTGTGTGTGCTTCACATCTCCACTTCAAACATTCAACCTGCTTTGATATACTTGTCAAAGCTCAACAGAGGCTAGATTTAAAAAAAATAAAATAGCAACGTGTCATACACACGCAGTCTTGACAGTGAACACTTTTGTTCATAATGCTCACAGGAAATGACAACTGCACAAAATGTAGACCCTGCATAGAGCGCATGTAAAGGACTCGATTTTCTTAACCCCTCCCACACACTTTAAACATAGATTAACGCAAGCTTTTTAAACACACACACACACACACACACACACACGCACACACACACACACACACACACACGCACACGTACAAAAAACATTTTGCAAGCATAATAATACCTTATGCATTGTAGTGTCTGTGTGCATGCATGCGCCTTTATGTGGTGTGGTCTGGAGGGGTGGGGGGCGTGTGGCATCACAAAGTCTGCGTGTGAGTGTCTGGGCATGAGTTGCAGCCGGCAGCAGCTTCTGCGTGAGTGTTTGTGACGTTCAAGAAAAGGCTGTCGACAAAGCGTGTAACAATATTTACAAGGATGTATTCTTTATCCTCTGTGAAGAATGGCGAATGTTACTGCAGCTTATTAGAGAAATTCTTCTGTGTTTCATTATCAACTCTACACATATGTTTGTATAGATTCTGGTGCCACCTGGTGGCACCAGAATGAGCAGCACAATGCCCATTGAATCAAATAGATTCTCTGATGCATCTTGAATTGATGATTGGAATTCCTTTTCATTTCTACCAATTTGGAACATACCAAATGAAGCTGACTGTTAGCTGAAGGACAACAAAGACGACAAGCTCTCGAATAAGAACATCGGCCCGGACAGCCCAAGCGCCGTGCGCGCGGATCTCTTGACAAACTCTGTTAGATTTATTTTTATGAGCTCCTTGAAGAAATCTACTCGAGGGAGACACGGGTCAAGTATTGAAGCATATTTATGCGCTCCCGACTGTGCGCAGTGTTAAACAGCTGCGTGCGCAGGGCAATTTCATGGCGAGAAAGAAAGAAAGAATCCTCGGGTAAGTCCGTCTTGGAATGGAACGGAGTGCAAATTAGATCAGTGATTTTATTCATGATCTTTTTTAAAATTAATCAGTTGTTGGAATTTTATTCTGACCCATCGCAGGTTCCAGGTGCCAGATATTTTTTTGGTCCACTTCAAGACTCCATTTTCTTCTGCCTTCGGTTTTGCAATACACGATTTTTCATGTGTACGATGACATGATGAGTTTCTTAGTTGGGGAAAAAAAATGGATTTGCTTTCTGTAAATACATACTGGAGGAATCAGTGCAAGGGGAAGGTTAGGGTCAAGTGAGGGTAGGGCTAGGTTTAGGACTAGGTTTTGAGCTTGGGGGTAGAGCTGGCGCCCTTGGATTAG